TTTTTTTTTTACATATACCATATTACCATGAGTGGATGTGAGAAATCTGTGTCTCTTATTCAAATTTTTTGAATTGACGTTGAACGTTTCGCAACATCTAATAAATATTGGAATTGCGGAAACGTGAATCTGAATATTTTCTTACATCAGTTGTCGTAATACTTTTGTCAAACGAGGGATGTCCCTCGGGTGATATCGAATATATTACGTTCACACAATATCCAAATCGAAGTTGAATAAATATAAATGTGAAATAAATATACAATCTTTCCAGAAATATTAGTCCATACGAGTACCAGTTGTTCATTAATTATTGATCGACAGAGCATTTCTCATCAGATTTGGGATTCGATATCGAATAAGACAACAAGTTGGAGTAATTTCGTAAGTTTACATTTCTAAAAATTCAAAGCTTTTCACATCGAATTTATTATAAAATTGTGGTTTTTCCTTCCAGGTGGCCCTGCAGGTTGATGGAAGCTATACGAAAGTTGAACTTGGAACGTCAATGAACAATTTTCTTGAAATAGCCATAGAAATACCAATTCCAAGAATTCATACCGAATTGTACCAAAGGAATCGAAATACCAATAAATAATTTACCTCAAATACCAATACTAATACCGATTTGTACGAAAGGAATCGAAATACCAATAAATAATTTACCTCAATTACCAATACTAATACCGATTCAAAAAATTCATACCAAATTTTACCGAAATATACATACCGATTTCAAAAATTCATACCAAATTTTACCGAAAGATAAATTATCCAAAATATTATATCACAGTTTGTACTAAAAATTTACCCTGTGAAACAGACGGATAAAATAGAATCCGCTATGAGATGGGCATTCGAAATTGTGCAACCAAATTCATATAGCATAGTTTAATATCATTTTTGATTAACGTATATATAAATTTTGAAATAGTCAAATCACTTTTTCTTTTTTCACTTTTACTGCGTCTTTTTATCTCCTTACGTAGTGTCGCATCGGTTCCGATCTTACGCTTATGTTCCTTCGAGATTTTCAAGATAAACCGATATTTCTCTGAATTTATTTCCTTCCTTTTTTATGATAAAATTAATAATAATAATACTAATAATAATAATTATAGCAGGATTCGGCGAATTAGTTTAATTCCTTACATTCGGTAAGTTTATCGTGCATTGTTCAGATTTTGTTCTAAAATTCATTTGGACATTCCAGTCGCTTCAATTTTTTTGGGAGAAAAATAAAACATTATTATTAGAATTCAAACCGCCATTATTAGTGAAACTTCCCTTTATCACAAACTTTTTTGTTCCTTTTATTTCAAATTCAGTCGGTCAACATTCAAAAATGCCTAGAAAAAAAATTCAGCGCACAAGGGAAGAAGAAGAAGAATTTCAAAGAATACGCCG